GGATTTTTACGAAATCCGAAAACCGGTTATTCGGTTATTCAATTCTTCAAATATCCGATTATTCAAATAACCAATTATTCAAATAACCGACTATTTGATAATCTATTCAAACATCCGAATAATCGGATTCTTTCTTTATAGCCAATAACTACATAACACCATAATATAGTCTTAGTGTTATGTAGTTATTGACACAGGCTACATAGTACATACATATTAGAAGGGTTGAACTATTAAGAGAAATACAATTTATTTTTATATTTTATCCTGAGAGACAGACACAGACTGATAAAAAAACAGTTACCCACACCCACATACACCAAACCGACAAATCCATTTATATAAATAATAAATTGAAGAATCATAGTAACAAGTACAACTGTTTTAACTGTTTTAACATTTTAACTTTTGACATTAGATTTAACTTTAAAATTTAAAATATGTGAATATGTGAATAACATGGTATATCTCGTTAGTTTTACAAAGCACCGATTTTCAGATATCCGGTTTTGGCCATTATTCGAATAACCGGTTTTAGAATATCCGGTTTTAGCAACTATTCGACTAACCGGTTTTATCTGAAATCGGTTTTTACGGAACCCGGTTAACCGGTTTCACTTTTTTCCGGTTNTTAAAAGAAAGAAACTGCTGACATTTTTCCACGAATTTAAAAAAAATGTTTTTCTATGACTTTCTGGAGCCGAGATAATTTTTTATTTAAAGATAGAAAGACAAGATAACACAATACACTTTTTATTAATTTGAACAAAAAATATGTTAACAGTATTGTTTCCAAATAAAAACTAGGTATTTACTTTTGATGAAAATCAAAAAAACAATTTCTGGCTTGCTGCATACATAGTCGAACCTTACACTTCGAACACTCTACGAAAGACTGATTTTTTATACATAGCTTACATCTTCCTCTTGCTGATGAAAAAACTGGAAAATGTCCATATGCATCATACTGCATATCCATACAGGGTCTTGTAGTTATTGGTGACCTATTGGGGCGGTTTTCTGTAGACTTTAATAAATTGGAAGGCCTCCCCCTTATTCTGTTTTTCTGCAACAGTCCCTCTGCTATCATAATACGAAAATCCTTTAATGCCATCTTCTTTTTAGATTGCTTGGGATTATGATCAAAATCCTCTTTGTATAGAATCCAAGAATTATTTATACAAATGTCTAAAAATTGGGAGAAAATTCCCAAATACCATCTTTTCGACTTCATCCCTGTTCTGTAAAGAGCTACAAACATGTCTGCTAAATCTACCCCTCCCATATGTTGGTTGTATTCTAAAACAATTTGTGGACAGGGTACATCAACCCTCCTCTTGTCTTCTTTTCTGTATCTTTTGACCGAACTAATTGGATAAGCATCGGTAAAAGAACTGACAAGTAGAACTGCCTTATTGTCAAACCATTTAACTACAGCTAGCTTTGCGTTTAACTCATTTGACACTTGTTGGCTAAAACTTCCCCGTCCTCTATTTTTTAAACTTTTATCATCTTCTAATTTACAGTCCCTGATTCTGTTAGATCGTAGTGTACCCAATGAAAATAATCCCAGACATTGTCGAAGATATACTAATAATTCAAATGACGAAAAAAAGTTGTCAAAATATAGTACAGAGCAAGCAAGGTTTGCTGTAGTTTTAGAAAGTGCAATTACAACTTTACCACCTAACCCAAATTGTTGCTCCTCTTCGGTAAAGTCAATTTGCCTAAATGTATCTTCGCCAGAATATAACAGAAAATCGTATACAAAACCAGTGATGCCAGCTCTGACAAAAACTTTAAAACCCCATTTCTTTGGTTTATTTTTTATATATTGCCGCCGACTGCCAGCCATGGTTCCTTTGTATGGTATCATCATTTCATCTATAGAAAACCTTCTTTCTTGTGGCATTGATAGGCAATTGTTTCTAATAATGTCAAGAAAAGGTCTAATTTTAAAGTACCTATCTTGATTTACATCTTCGTTGTTCACAAAATGTAAAAATCTTCGAATTTGTTGAAATCTTTTAAGGGTCATTATATCGGCAATTTTACTATATCTCAAATTATTTGACCAATAGTCACAATAGGATGGCATCTTTATAACACCCATTAAAATTTCAATTGCAATAAAATCTTTTATATCATTTTTAGTTACATTAATAGATTTCCCAATTTTCTGCATTGAGTAGAGATTTGTATTATCAACCATTAAATCATAAATACTGTCAGTAAAAAATAAACAAAAATATTCGTAAGGAGTTTTCATTGTAGAATGAAGTTGCGGTGGCTTTATATTTTTTGGAATTTCTGCTTTAAATTCAAAATTATCATTTGTCCAAGTAAATTCTAATTTTTTAGCAGGCTTATTTTTTGTATATTTTTGTTTCTTAGTTACTTCATTTTTTTGTAATCGGGTAATCACTCTAGCAGTAGCTGGCAATGATGAATTTAAAGTAGGCCTAGTAGTAGTTAAAGTATTTTCACTTTGGGAAAATGATGAAGCATTTTTATATTCATTTGAATTTTGGAGAGATGCTGAGCTGTAATCAGATGGAGGTACAATAACCAAAATTGGTTTTTCAGCAGATTGTGGTACCGATTCAATATTTGCAGATGTATTTACAGAGTAAGGCAGTTCTCCAAGTTGTTCATCTCCTAGGAGTTCATTTGTTTCTAAATCAAAAGCAATGTGTTCTATTGGTTCTGCCAGTGCCTCATTTATTATATCTTCCAGCTCATCACAAGATTCCGTCAATGATAGAGGATTTGAACTGTCATAATCTAAATCGTTATTAATCACATCAAAATGTTTTTCTTCTAATACTTTTTCTACATCATCGTCAGAATCGGAACCAAAATCTGATTCATTTGATGGTGGAACGAGCGCTAAAATTTTTGCAGCCCTCGAAGCAAAAAAATTTTTCTTCATTTTCTGAAAAATTAAATTTGCTATTATGTATGGACATAAAAGCTTAATATTAATATTATTAAGCTTTACACAGGTTTATGTGGAAAGTATGTGACGTCAATGGCACAATTTTCGGTGATCGATTAACTGGATCGTTAGCAATGTGTCACCGATGACACATTGTGTGAAATTATTGTAAATCAGGCAATGTGACACATGTGACACATAGATAACCAAACCCAAAATAAATACTTTTAAATTGTTTCAAAGAACTTATGACTTATAACTATATTCCTTTAATATTAATCAATGAATTTTTAAATATTTTAATATAATAGTTGAGTA